ATGATAGGCACACGTCCTCCTCCTCGGGATGATGCCCTTGTAGGACTTCTGCACCTTCCCCGCTCTAGGGAGCGGAGTCAGATTCTGAGTTCAAGTTCCAGGGCCGGCACTTACAAGCCATAAGGCTTTGGGCAAGTTTCATAATTCACCTTTACTTCAGTCTCCTCCCCTGGAAAATGGGGATGATAACCATACTGACTTTCCAGGGCCATTATACAGACTGAGGCATCAATGTGTTAAATTCATATCAAATGTTGTCATTGGCATCCTTCCTCCCTTCTTCCCTTTCAGCCCTTTTTTGTTCTTGTTTTGGCATGTGGGATCTCGCTTCCCCAGGCAAGGATTGAACCTGTGCCACCTGCAGTGGAAGGTGGAAGTCTTAACCCCTGGACCACCAGAAAGTCTCTTTTACAACCTCTCGCCTCACTTGGCCTCACTTCTTTCTTCCACTTGCTCTGCCCCCTGCTCTCTTTGATTTACCTCTCCCTCATCCCTTCCAGGGCCTTTCCTGACATCAGGAATGACATCCGGAAAAAGAAGACACAGGCCAGAGTACACAAGCCCACAGACAAGGTAGGATCCCCATGAAGAATGCAGTCACATGAAAGAGCAGGGCTCCGTGCTGCAAAGGACTTCCCCTCCCACTGAACCTTCTGGAGTCCAAGAGGAAGGATCCATGGGGTCCTTCACTATGCTCAGTCTCAGCCAGTAGTTAAGGTCTAAAAGGGAGAATATTGCCTTTCTTTGGGATTGGAATGAAAACTGACCTTTTCCAGTCCTGTGGCCACTGCTGAGTTTTCCAAATTTGCTGGCATATTGAGTGGAACACTTGCACAGCATCATCTTTTAGGATTTGAAAGAGCTCAACTGGAATTCCATCACCTCCACTAGCTTTGTTCATAGTGATGCTTCCTAAGGCCCACTTGACTTCACATTCCAGGGTGTCTGGCTCTAGGTGAGTGTGAGTGATCACACCATCGTGATTATCTGGGTCATGAAGATCTTTTTTGTACGGTTCTTCTGTGTGTTCTTGCCACCTCTTCTTAATATCTTCTGCTTCTGTTAGGTCCATACCATTTCTGTCCTTTATTGAACCCATCTTTGCATGAAATGTTCCCTTGGTATCTCTAATTTTCTTGAAGAGATCTCTAGTCTTTCCCATTCTATTGTTTTCCTCTATTTCTTTGCATTGATCGCTGAGGAAGGCTTTCTTATCTCTCCTTGCTATTCTTTGGAACTCCACATTCAAATGGGTATATCTTTCCTTTTCTCCTTTGCTTTTCAGTTCTCTTCTTTTCACAGCTATTTATAAGGCCTCCTCAGACAGCCATTTTGCTTTTTTGCATTTCACCTTCTTGGGGATGGTCTTGATTCCTGTCTCCTGTACAATGCCACAAACCTCTGTCTATAGTTCATCAGGCACTCTGTCTATCAGATCTAGTCCCTTAAATCTATTTCTCACTTCCATTGTATACTTATAAGGGATTTGATTTAGGTCATACCTGAATGGTCTAGTGGTTTTCCCCACTTTCTTCAATTTAAGTCTGAATTTGGCAATAAGGAGTTCATGATCTGAGCCACAGTTTAGCTCCCAGTCTTGTTTTTGCTGACTGTATAGAGCTTTTTCATCTCTGGCTGCAAAGAATATAATCAATCTAATTTCGGTGTTGACCATCTGGTGATATCCATGTGTAGTCTTCTCTTGTGTTGTTGGGAGAGGGTGTTTGCTATGACCAGTGTGTTCTCTTGGCAAAACTCTATTAGCTTTGCCCTGCTTCATTCTGTACTCCAAGGCCAAATTTGCCTGTTACTCCAGGTGTTTCTTGAATTCCTACTTTTGCATTCCAGTCCCCTATAATGAAAAGGACATCTTTTTTGGGTGTTAGTTCTAAAAGGTCTTGTAGGTCTTTATAAAACCATTCAACTTCAGCTTCTTCAGCATTACTGGTCAGGGAATAGACTTGGATTACCATGATATTGAATGGTTTGCCTTGGAAATGAACAGAAATCATTCTGTCGTTTTTGAGATTACACCCAAGTACTGCATTTCAGACTCTTTTGTTGACTATGATGGCTACTCCATTTCTTCTAAGGGATTCCTGCCTACAGTAGTAGATGTAATGGTCATCTGAGTTAAATTCACCCATTCCAGTCCATCTTAGTTCACTGATTCCTAGAATGTCAATGTTCGCTCTTGCCATCTCCTGTTTGACCACTTTCAATTTGCCTTGATTCATGGACCTAACATTCCAGGTTCCTATGCAATATTGCCATGAAATTAAAAGACTCTGCTTTAATGACTATGCCAAAGCCTTTGACTGTGTAGATCACAATAAACTGGAAAATTCTGAAAGAGATGAAAATACCAGACCACGTCACCCACCTCTTGAGAAACCCGTATGCAGGTCAGGAAGCAACAGTTAGAACTGGACATGGAACAACAGACTGGTTCCACATAGGAAAAGGAGTACGTCAAGGCTGTATATTGTCACCCTGCTTATTTAACTTATATGCAGAGTACATCATGAGAAATGCTGGGCTGGATGAAGCACAAGCTGGAATCAAGATTGCTGGGAGAAATATCAATAGCCTCAGATATGCAAATGACACCATCCTTATGGCAGAAAATGAAGAAGAACTAAAGAGCCTCTTGATGAAAGTAAAAGAGAAGAGTGAAAAAGTTGGCTTAAAGCTCAACATTCAGAAAACTAAGATCATGGCATCCGGTCCCATCACTTCATGGAAAATAGATGGGGAAACAGTGGACACAGTGGCTGACTTTATTTTGGGGGGCTCCAAAATCACTGCAGATGGTGACTGCAGCCATGAAATTAAAAGACACTTACTCCTTGGAAGGAAAGTTATGGCCAACCTAGACAGCATATTAAAAAGCAGAGACATTACTTTGCCAATAAAGGTCGGTCTAGTCAAGGCTATGGTTTTTCCAGTAGTCATGTACGGATGTGAGAGTTGGACTATAAAGAAAGCTGAGCGCTGAAGAATTGATGCTTTTGAACTGTGGTGTTTGAGAAGACTCTTGAGAGTCCCTTGGACTACAAGGAGATCCAACCAGTCCATCCTAAAGGAGATCAGTCCTGGGTGTTCATTGAAAGGACTGATGTTGAAGCTAAAACTCCAGTACTTTGGCCACCTGATTCGAAGAGCTGACTCATTGGAAAAGACCCTGATTCTGAGAATTATTGAAGGTGGGAGGAGAAGGGGACGACAGAGGATGAGATGGTTGGATGGCATCACCAACTCAGTGGACATGGGTTTGGGTAGACTCTGGGAGTTGGTGATGGACAGGGAGGCCTGGCGTGCTGCGGTTCATGGGGCTGCAAAGAGTCGGACACGACTGAGCAACTGAACTGAACTGAAAAGGAAGGACAAGAGGTAGCCAGGTCACATAGAAACTGGCTTTACATCTGGGTGACCCTGAGCACAAAGAAATGGGGACTAGGGGAACAGGGCTTCTCATCTCCAGGAAACACTAACCCAAGGCAGGACTTGTGGGATGTTCAAGGATTTGTGGGATGCAGAAGACTGAAACAAGAATTTAGTGCCTGGTACCCTGGGTAGGCACTCAAGAAATATATGTTGAGTGGATAAATGCGTCGGGTCACATGTGTTGGAGACAAGAACAGATAGGACCAATGGGGTACCAACAGCCACATATGCCATGCTGAATGTGGACCAAGATGGCAGCTCCCAGGGTAATACCAATAGCTAACCCTGAAAGAGTACTTCCCATGTGCCCCAAGGACACTACTCTAAATGTCAAAGCCACAGTTCTGTTACAATTACCTCTGTTTTTCAGGGGCTTCCTAGGTAGTGCTAGTGATATAGAACCTGCCTGCCAGTACAGGAGACATAAGAGATGCAGGCTCGATCCCTGGGTTGGGAAAATCCCCTGGAGTAAGGATGGCAACCCACTCCAGTATTCTTGCCTGGAGAATGGACAGAGGAGCCTGGTGTGCTACAGTCTATAGGGTCACAGAGATTCAGACACGACTGAAGCAACTTAGTATGTGTGCACTGTTTTACAGACAAACAAACTGAAATGCAGAGAAATCAAGAAGCTGTCTCGAAGTTTCATAAACCCAAGCATTCCCACCTCTGTGGCCATGTCACTAACCACTGTGATCCCTGCCTCTCAGTTGACTCTAGAGAGGGAATGCTCTCAACTTTCAGGTAATGTGCTGATTTTTCAGATCAGGTATTGTGTTTGTGGCTTTTCTGAAGTACGTTTAGTTCATAGGCTCTCCTTAAGACTTCTTCACTGGTCTCACCTTTTTGTTGACATTGTCATCTGTCTCTTCAGCAGCTCCAAGCTGTTCGCCAATTTGGTTCAAAATCAAAACAATATCAGCAGTTAGGAAAGAGGCGGAGATGGAGAAATGGAAGAGAATGGGGCTCTGTTTTGGAGATCACAGTCAAAGGACTTCCTAATAGTTCGGACATGGGAGTCAGAATAAAAACTATACCCCCTGGGACTTCCCTGGTGGTTCAGTGGTTAAGAGTCTGCCTGCCAATGCAAGACACATGGGTTCGATGCCTAGCCAGGAAGATCCCACATACTGTGGAGCAACTAAGCCCATGCAACCACAGCTACCGAGCCAACACTCTAGAGTCCATGCTCTACAAGAGAAGCCACCGCAATGAGAAGCCTGCGCACCACAGCTAGAGAAAGCCCACGCAGCAATGAAGACCCACTGCAGCCAAAAATAAACAAGTAAATAAATAATTTTTTTAAAAATTACACCCTCCTCACTGCAAATCAAATGATAACGATGCATACAAAGTGAAGGATATAATGACTGCAAAAGCCACGAGTGATGCTCTCAAGCAAAGGAAATAGAGGAAGGGAAGGAAGGAAGAGAGCTGGCGATTAAGAGGTTGCAGACTGAACCAGTCCTGAGGTGGTACCTGTTGCCTGGAGCTTCATGCCACCCTAAACCAGTACAGGGTTCCAGCTGAAGCCCCCAGCTGGTGCTCTTGCTATGGGCACCAGGGACAGCCTGGGTTATACCTATTGCCGGGACAGACTTGTCATCCAGTCCCTGTGGCAGATGCCACGAGGTACCATCCGAATCCCCAGCTGTCGGGAAGGCCAACCAGAAGATGCCTTCAGCTATCAACCTTCTTTGGGCACCGCCTCGGCTAAAGGAAACAGTCTCCCCCAAGGTCACGCCTCCTTCCAGAGGCCTCTGGTCGCCAGTGGCCACTCACTGTTCCACATGATGTAACACAAGCCAGGCCCCCTGGCCCAGCTGGAGATGAGGCTGAAGGGCCACTTCAGCCCTGGGCTCCCCGTGAGACCGACTGAGGCTGTCACTGAGGCAGCATCACTGAGACTCTGTCACATCTCGACCTCTCCCTCTGCCCCCTCCAGCTACTGTTCCTTCCTTTTCACCGGTATTGATCCCCAAAACCCTCCTAATAATCTTTCTGGCATGAGATCCAGCCCCTGGCCCCATCTTAGACTCTGCTGCCTGGGGAACTTAACCTGCAGCAATCACTGTTACTCTCATTGGGGTCCTAGTTAGAATAGTAAATTGTACAGTCACCCTAGCTTCATGAGACCTACAACTCTTTGTAGTTACTTATTTAGTGACACTAGATTGGAAGTCCCCTACAGCAGACAATGTAGAATCAGGCAGAACCCAGGACTTGTCATAGCAGGCACACAATAAGTGTCTGTTGAATGGATGGATTAAGCACCTTATCTGGGCGTTTAGAGACTGGGAGAGCTGGGGGCAGGGGAGGGAGGACGAAGCTGCTCTGAGCCCCTAAAACACAGAGTATCATCAAGACACATGCGTCCACCTCCTTCCAACAAAGGTCCGTGCAGCCAAAGCTGGGGTTTCCAGTAGTCATGTCATACAGTCATGCACAGAAGGCTGAGAGCTGAAGAACTGATGCTTTTGAACAGTGGTACTGGAGAAGACTCTTAAGAGTCCCTTGGACAGCAAGGAAATCAAACCAGTCAATCCTAAAGGGAATCAACCCTGACTACTCATTGGAAGGACTGAGGCTGAAGCTGAAGCTTCAGTACTTTGCCCACCTAATGCAAAGAGCCAAGTCATTGGAAAAGATCCTGTTCTGGGAAAGATTGAGGGCAGGAGGAGAAGGGAATGACAGAAGATGAAGATGAGATGGTTGGATGGTATTATTGATTCAATGGACATGACTCTGAACAAACCCCAGGAGATAATGAGGGACAGGGAAGCCTGGTGTGCTGCGGTCCATGAGATCACAGATTCGGACACAACTGAGTGACTGAACAACAACAAGATGACAAGTCCCAAATCATAAAAATGACCCTGGGTTCAGGGGTCCATCCCTTTCTGGCTAAAGGTCATGTTATAAAGCTGACCCTCTAGAGACAGTGGCTTCAGATTGGTAGCCTGCTCCACATCAGGTAGGCAGAGAGCTGGATGCTGGGTCAGAAGAGAACCTGCCTTGTAGATTGCCCCACCCCTTGCACAGCAGGAAGCCACCCACCCTCCTGGGTGTGGTTCTCAGGAGACCCAGGTTTGGCCTCCAAAGCTGGAGGTGTCCTGGAGAAGTTTCAGGCCAAGCTGCCTCTCCACCCGCCCTTTCGCTTCCCATTCTTATCTCCTGTTAGTCAGAGGGGCCTTGGCAGCCTCGGGAAGCTCAAACACAAAGCAGAATTCCAGGAACTCCAGGCTGAGCAGAGTCCTGGCTGTTTTCTCAGTTCCTTTTTGCTTCTTCTCAAAGGTCTCTGGTTAAGCCCTGTGACTTTCCAGGCAGAATCCTGGTTGATGGTCTTTGTGTTGCCTCCCTCCCTCCCCCACAATTACACTTCTCTTCAGCAGCTTCTGAGAATCCTAGAAGGTCACCCTGCTGGAAAGGACCGAATATAGATAGTGAAAGAGGAAGCTGAGAGGCTCCTAAGGAGGCGGCCTCCATCTAGCTGGTTCCCACCTGCCCAGGCTGCATCTCCCCAGGGTCCCCAGCCTCCAGAAATGCAGCCACTAGTTAGGTACTAAGTAATATGGGGCACTGGAACAAGAACACCTTCGCTCTTGCATGCCTGACCCTTTCTATAAGTGATGAAATAAAAAGGTGGGACAGAAAATGGTAGAGGGGAGGATTGCTGAAAACAATAAAAAGCCTGGGATATGAAAAGAAAAGGCAGAGAGGACTTTCCCTGGCGGTCCAGTGGTTAAGAAACCACCTTCCAATGCAGGGGATGGGAGTTCTATCCCTCGTCTGGGAACTGACAGCCTACACGCCATGGAGCAAATTAAGCCCACACAATGCAACAGGGGAGAAGCCTTCACTGCAACAAAGAGCCTGCATCCTGCAACTAAAACCCCACATGATGCAACCAAGACCTGAAGCAGCCAAAAATAAATAAATACGTATTTTTTTTAAAAAAAAAGAGAGTTCCACAGCCCACCCCAGTGGCACAAAGGGAGATAGAGATTTTTTCCAGAAGGATGAAGACTACCGAAACTGAGGGTGTGAGTGCCAAGTGACGGGAAGATTGGGTACAGGTGACTTTGGGCAAAGAGAGAATAACCTGAATTACTTTGGAGGTTTTAGGCAGAGACGATTCTAGCTTGTGATTCGCCTTATGATTGTGGTGATGCAACAGTTCGGAGCAAGTGTATATATATGTGCATTATAACTCCCTTTCCTTGTCCCATCCCTACTCTTCCCTCTCTGGAGCCACAGAAAAAAACTCTGGGTAGGAGGGATTCATCCTGCCTTGACATGAAATGTCCATGCATTTATTGATTCATTTCTTCCTTCCGCAGGGATTTTTTTTAAGCAACTGTTTCAGATCTTGATGAAACTACTGTAACCAAGGTAGATGCGGTGTCTGCCCTCATAGTGTATACAGTCAAATGGGGACAATTAAATGATTCCACATGGGACTTTCCAGATGGTCCAGTGGTTAAGACTCCACCCTCCCAATGCAGGGGGTCCAGGTTTGACCCCTGATCGGGAAACTAGATCTTACATGCTGCAACTAAGAATTCTCACATTGCAACTAAAGATCCTGAATGCCACAACTAAGACCTGGTGGAGCCTCTCACAAAAAAATAAGTAAAAAAACTTTAAATACACGTAACATTAAAAAAAAAAAATTCCACAATAGTGTAGGTTAAAGTTCCATGTGGACAGAAAAAAGAGAGAGTGCTAAGAAAGCACAGATAAGGGACCCATCAGAGGGACTTGTGAGTGAGGGATGAAGTCAAGTCTAACCCAACCTAGGGAATGACAGTGGGTTCATCAAATGACAATGCCTCAGACTCAGAGAAACTGTCTCCAAGATCATACATCTAGTGACAGTCCCTAGCTGAATCTCATCTCTCTAAACTTTCTTTGAATCCTGACTTTGCCACTTTCTGGCAAAGTGTCCTCAGGTAAGTTACTTAACTCCTCAGTTTCCCCATCTGTAAAATTGAGATAATAAGATCCCTGCCTCATTTGACTGTTTGGAAAAGTAAATGTATTAGCAATTCCTAAAGTGTGGTCCAGGGAGACCTGCAAGTCCTCAGGATTTTGTCTGGGGGTCCAGGAAGTCAAAACTGTTTTCATAGTAATAGTAAAACATTATTTACATTTATTGCTCTCCAGTGTTTTCCAGAGACCATATGACGTGTGACAACAGATTGAATGCAGATGTGTGAATCCAGCCATCTTTGATTAAATTACATGTTACAAAGAATCGCAAAAATATTTTTTAGAAAAGAATGTCATCCTTTTTACTAAATTTTTTTTTATTTTGGAAAATAAGTTATTTTTGCAAAGAATGTTATTTGTATCAACATGCAATAGGTTTGTTATTAGCATTTTTAATGAATGCAGTTTAAATTTTTCTCAACTTCAATTTCTAATACCTTCAGTCATGTCCAGCTCTTTGTGACCCTATGGACTGTAGCCTGCCAGCCTCCTATGTTGGGGATTCTCTAGGCAAGAATGCTGGAGTGGGTTGCCATTCCCCCCTCGAGGAGATCTTCCCGACCCAGGGAATAAACCCACATCTCCTGCAGCTTCTGCATTGCAGGTGAATTCTTTACCGCTGAACAACTAGAGAAGCCCATTATCAGTAAATACTCCAGCGGTGTGCTGAAGTCGGCTTGCACTGGCTTGGGACTCTACTGGGACTTGTTGACTGTGCACATCTCTCCCCATTTCACATTTGGTTATTTCTGGGGGAATCTTAAAATGGGCCACAGTGGAAGAATTTATACCATGGGAATTGGCAAATACTACAAATCAGGATTTTTCTCCCAGAGAATCAGTTATTAAGCATCACACCACGAGATATAATCCACAGAAATAAAAGATTTTTGGAGGTTCTCAAAATTTTTTGAGTCAGCAAAAAAGCTTGAGAACCACTGAGTTAAGTACTCACAAAATACTTAAGTCAGTGCCCAGTACAAGGTAAGTCTGTAGTAATAAATTATCAATAATTAATCTCCACCAGATCTCAAAATTCAAGGATTTAAGCATTAATGGATGGCCTTATTTTTTTGTTTCTTTTTTTTTTTTTACTTTATTTATTGTGACATGCAGGCTCACTGGTTGCAGCAGGTTTAGTTGCTCCACAGCATGTGAGATGTTAGTTCCCCAGCCAGGGACCGAACCCATGTCCCCTGCATTACAAGATGGATTCTTCACCACTGGACAACCAGGGAAGCCCCTTTTGTTTTTCAGTTTCCAAGCTCTTAGATGCTCCTTTGGGGCCCATATCTCTGCTTGCCCCCACCCCCAACCTCACCCCTCCATTTGACTGTGGCCCCTCTCAGCTGCCTCAAGAAATGTTCTCTAGAGCTCCAGGGCCTTGAGGCACCACCCACCCTCTGACCACAGCTGACAACTCTGCCAGAGGCTTTCTACCACCCACTCAGCACAGAAAGCCCATTTGTGAAATGTACTCTTGTTTACATTTGCAACCACCAAGCTAATTGTCTGTGTCTTTTGCTAACAAGCCGTGGGTGATAAGAGGCCCACTGGTGGTAGTAGGGATTGTGCAGAAGATTTTGGCTTTGAAATCTCATGGAAGGCCTACTTGGGTTTGGTCATTTCATCATCTTATGCTTTAAGAGCTTTATTGAGCAAGTCTCAACCAGATTAAGAAAATCTGACTAAGGGTGCTGCCTGAATGCCCCTGGCAAAGGCACTTCTAAATATCCACAGAACAGTCAATGACAAAGAGGCCAGGCATCTGGGGAATTCAAGTGGAAGAGCCTTTGTGAGAGAAAGC